CTGACCATCTGGAGCGCAGCCCGTAGGTGCCGATTTAAGGATTCTGCTACTCTTTAGTTCATATGAATTGCATCTCATTTTTTATTCATTTATCCGCAGGAAAAGCCACAAGTCCTTGCTTTTGAAGAAGCACCGAACGTCTCCGATCCCAATAGCCAAATGACACGCCTGCTAAGCCTTCATGATACTCCATGCTTCTCCTTCTCTGAGTTGAACTCCACCCCGCCTGTCATTCCGTCCCACTCTTCCTTTAATATTTTCTTTCCACTGCCTTTCTTTCTGCGTTTAATACATATTTTGAAACCTTACTTTGCGCGGTTTAAGGTTCATAGCATTTCATCAGTACGGATCCATTGGAAGAGTACTAAATGTTTCATGGTGCATAGAAAGAAAGTTGTCGCCTGTAATAACTTCCCTTAACTCATTTTGTGACTATGGCTCACACTGGTACCTCCAGTACATAAGACAACCTAGACTATTAATAGGAAAGAAGATTGAGACGATGGAAGACTTCTTACTTTTATAAACGGACAATCAATTGTGTCGACTCGCCGCATCAGTCAACACACTAAGGGGTCCCTTTTTTTGCTTAGCAGTCCGTTTAGTCCACATGGCTCTTTCAAAATCTTGATCAGATCCTTGTTCGGTCGTGCTGCTTCTTTTGGTCAGACCTCGTTTGAGTAGACAAGACTTAATCCTGCAGTCGAACCTTGGACGCATGTGGTATCCTTTTTATTTTGCAGGCACCACACTTGGCTCGGAAGGTGGCTAACTGACGATTAAAGTCAGACCTCTTAGTGAGCCTAATGTATGTCTGCGTAGTGGCCGCCTGTTTGACTAAAAGTCAGAATGCATTAGTTCCTTAATTGTAGCACTCACATATGTGACATCTGAACCGTTCACCCCCTTTAGAGTGAACGCTTGATGTTTTGCTTAGAGGGGGACAAATCGTGTGTATAGAACACGCAGGCGAAGCCACTAGTTATGTCAGCAACTGCGTCCATTCCTCGCACCAGACAGTTGGCACATCACTGTAAACCAAATCACTGTTCCCACACTAGCCTACTGTGGGAAGCAGGGTAGACCTCACGGAAATCGGCGGCGCCCATTCGTTAACAGGCTCGACTGTTTGGGTGATTGCGCAAAGAGCAGTTTGTAGTTCACTTCGGAAAATTCTAGTCTTCAAGGTTTTTAACTTACTAATCTGCTTTGGAAGCGTTTACGGACAAACGAGCATACCGGAAATGAAGTTTTTGTCTTCGCCTTGTTGATAGACGTTCAGCAACCTCTAACGGAACTCAAATGTCCCGCAGCTAGTAGTATAGATAAATAGTATTGCTGGCAAAGACAAGGGAGACTGGAATGGCCATTTCTGGCTGATCAAAAACGTCGCGAGTTAGGGCCTCGGGTGCTGCACCACCTGCAGTTGGATATGACTGACTGAAGACGGCTAATAAGCCAGAAATGGTCGTTCCAGTGTCTTAGTCAGGCGTCAGTAGTTAGATGCTCTGGCACCTGAGCCGTGGATCTTGGCGTCATATACTTTGTCACTGACAAGCAGACGAAAATGAGCTGGGTAAGCCATTTTCGGCCGCGGTTACCCCTGTGGTCGTTAAAGACATTATGTTGTGGTAAGGAGTTTCTCTTAGCACTGTTATGAAGCTATTCGAAATGAGATCCTCTCTACTACTACTAGCAGTAGTAATAATTCAGAAGCACTTATTTCGGTGTCCAATCGATTGTTTCAGTCTCCCTTGTCTTTGTCGGCAGTACTATCTTTTTCAAGAGTATTTGATTGGAATCTCCTCCTCCTCCTACCATCACATACTCAGTACATTCGGAGAACTTTGGCAGCATAAAAGACTCTGTGAACATCTTGTTGTGGATGTTTAGTAAATTGCGGCCTTGAAGCAAACAGAAAAAACTTATTTACATCTTGGTAAATGGCAAATAAGTTGGATCAAGGATTGCTCCTCTTCAAAACAAAAAGGATGTCGCTGATTCCTGAGATAAATTAATCAAATAAGCCGCTTTGGTCCCTTTGTTATGCAGAATTCAGGCTTTGAGCCCTGACTCGCCATTGATAATCTAGAGAAGGGGGTTTGAAACGGCAACAGTCAAACTACGAAGTCTTTGTACGTTGATAACAATTATTAATGTCATTAAGAGCAGACAGACTAAGTGAAAGTATTGTTAAAGATTTGGAAGAAAGCGCCTATAAATATCAGCATATCAGAAACGAGTTGAGAATGATAAAATTGAAAATCAGCGAGCGACTAACTGGGATGCCGAAGATTTTCTCAAGTACTTGCGACTCCATCTTAACTAAAAAAAATCTAGCAACTCTTTATCCAAACTAGATTCGCAAACTAATTTCTCATCGTGTAGAACCCGAAGAAAGAACAAGTAAAGGCAGTCTGGACAGTTCTCTCCTAGATAGGTCTGATATTTTTTCTTAAGTAAGGGATTTGGCAGATTCGAATAATTCATTTGACTTAATTGTGAAAAACTCGGGATTATAACCCACAACAGAAAGGAGAAGACTTTAAGGTAGCCAAAGCTCTGGCCAACTGACCTACGAGGTACCCAACAGGAGCCGTGATTTCGATCAAATTTGGGTCGATTTATCCATCCAACCTACTCTTACTAAGCTGACTACCCAAGCAGAGTTTCCTTGACAATCGATCTAGAACCCATAAGGTGACTATCAGGCACAATTAATTAGTAGGGCAGCGGTTTGGCAGATTTAAATAATTCATTTAACCCAATTGCTTGATCAGTCAGCTTACTGTATCACTGGCGTAAATAAGGCTAATTCTAGAGTTGTGAGAATTTCCATCAAATCATTCAGAAGACCATTTGGCGAGCATACGTGTGCCTTCGATAAATTACTGGCTGACCACTACAGATATACACTATTGGCCGCATGTTTTAGTTTTGTACCCTGTTCCCATACACGTATTGGTCCGTCCAGAATTTTTCGAAAGCTTGCGTATCTTCGCCAACTGGTTTTCTTTCTAATTTTCTTTAAGTATACATTACAGTAACAAGTACTGATGCCCTAGTGCATACAACTTCTTTTTTGTCAGTTTATCATCTGTTATGTCGCGGATGTATGAGTGCATATTACGTTAGTTACATTTAAGAACATTTTATATTTTCTCTGCAGCACCCTACAGGCATCATTTAACATGCGTCTGAAATCTCCGCGAGCCGAGTAGACACGTAATTTTACGCTACCGGGCAGAAGCAACAGGTGGGTAACGTAAGGATCACATAATATAGCCAAAAATAGGGCTGATGCCTTTCCCTGTAAGCAAATCATCCCCATGTTTCCATTTTCGAAGTAAACGCAAACGAGAAGCATTAATTATTTTCCTTAAATTCAGTTTACTTACAAAAATAAGTAAAACTT